AGAAGATTCTGTCGCGTTGGTGGAAAAAGAAACTTGAGCCATAGTAATTTTGCTTAGCCATGGAGTCTTTCATTGGAAAATTTGGCGTAGAACTGTATTTAAAATTGATTTATGCGGAAGATTATCCATGCATATATCATCCTATCTCCTCGCTAGAGAAGAGGAAAGATGGATGGAATATTGGAAATGCAGAGTTATTTTCATTTTCCAACTCGCTTTGCACAGTGAGTGTAAGCCCCCGTAAAACTCAAGGGTAAGATTCTCAATTTATGGACATGTGGAGAAAAAGCAACCCTAATATCTAAAATATTAATTATAAGAAAACAAATTAGAAACAAAAAGCTGTGCATGATGAATCCTAAGAAAATTACTACGACCTAAAAATGTCTAAAATAACACATCATTAAATTAAATTAAATTAAATTAAATTAAATTAAATTGGCCCTCCTTCTCAGTATCAGCTTATGAAGATTTGAATGCTTCTTCTGGTCAAAAGAGGGGCTTGCAGCCGGCCGATACTCCGGGAATAACCTCCCTGTATTGTACCTCACACCACAAGCGTTACACAGTGTTTTCGGACCCAGTGGACCGATCCTCCATTGCGGCGTTTTGTCAATTTGACAGTGGGTGCAAACTCTCTTTAGGAATTCATGATTTTCTAGTGCAGAAAACACACAATCTTTCGTCGGCCACGCACGCTGCTTTAATCTCCGTTTACTCCTTGGTTTCTTTTTAGTTATACCGAATTTAAAATCTCTCGATGGAGTAGTTTCTATCTCCTCTTCGGATTTTCCCAAAAAATCTCCAAAATCTTCCAAGAAGCTTAACTCATTGGTTGATTTAAACCCATCGAGGAAATCAGTAACGCACTCTATGGGATCCTTAGGGGCGCTAAGTCCACTGCCAATCCAATCAAAATCATCACTGACATTGCAGACATCATCAGAAGCTGGAAAAAAAAAGGTCAAGGCATATATAAAGAGAGACACCATCGTACAAGTTGTCACAAAAAGGCTAAGGCACATGCAGAGGGAGGCAAAGGGATGAATTAGGTTTTAATTAAGGTTTATTTTCTATATATTTATATACATATAGGAGAAGAAGAGAAGGGTTTTAAGTGAAGTCCGTAAGTATTATGGATATTCATGAACTGCGTGAGAAATTATCTCTACAGAGGCGGACCAACCAATAAAACCTAGAACATAGTTCCCTAGCAAATACACGAATACGGCTGTGTTAGGCAGTTTTGTTTTTTACGAGGTTTTGTCCTTCAAACACTCAACGAGATTTGGATGAAGGAAGAAGTAAAGGAAATCTTCGATTTTGGTGTTTCATTAGCCTGAGAATTCAATTAAAATAAAATTTCAGTCTGTGCACAAAAAGGGTAGTCTTGAGATTCTACGAATTTTGTGATTTGAATCATCACCATGCATGTCATCACTTTCTCAGCCATCTTTATGCATCACTCAATTCTCAAAATGCTAATCCTCTCTATAATATATTTTTAAAATTACATGGAAACGAAAAAATATATATTCATCAACCAGGGTATTATAAATTTAATTAAAATATAAGAATATATATGAGGACTATGAAGCTTATAAAGAAAAACAATATAGGAAAAACATGTTAATTCAATGAGCAGGAGTTCCCATCGGTACAAAGCTATATGTTCAGTTTATAATCATTTAATTTATGATAAATTTATTATGGTTATAAATATTTACAAAGATTCTGATATGCAAATTAAATATATATTACATTTGCAATTGATATAAAAACAAGATGCTAATATGTTTTTGAATATATTAAAACAAAACTAGAAAAAAATATTTACTTTTCGAGATACTTTAAAATTAATTAAGTTTTATTGTTGGTAAAGATCAATAATTTCTTTTTTAAAGCTTTATTGCTTCATGTAAAAGATGTTTTTCAATGAGATCCAATGAATTAATCAAAGAAAACTTAGCAGTCTCTCTACAAGACTTAATCTAAGCTTTAAATTTTGGAGATATATTAAAAAGAAACGGACCTTTAAAAATCAGAAGAACAAGGCTGGAAACTTTAGCGAAGAAGAGATCAAATTCTGTTTTTTTTTTTTAAATGCACCCCAAACACTCTTCTTTAACGCCTTGATTGAGGTTGGCCGGAGCTAAGGGATCTGGCTCTATTGAGGTTTAGCATTTCAGTCTTGGGTGGCATCTCCAATGATGTTCGGCATGGTGCCAACTTTATCTCGCCGTCAAAGCTTCAGGGTGAGACCAAAGGAAGAGAAGGCGTCAGGACAGACAAAATTAGGCCTAAAAGCTTACAAAAAAAGAGCACTAATGGCCCCTTTTCGGAAAGAGTTTTTATTTTACCATTATTGCCTTTCCCTATCTTCTATTGTTTTTCATGTAACTGGGACGACTAGCAAGACAAACTCAACAAAGGGGAGAAAGCAAATAGATTCAATAGATACCTTAGCCACTCCCTAATAAGAGAGAAGGTGGGAGCTCCATCTCTGTGCTTGAATGCCTGGCCCTGCATCGAAGGAAAAGTCCTCTCTCTAAATCGGGCATCACCTGATTCGACGAGAAAGGATGACCCGATGTTTTGCCCTTCCTAGGCTTAGTGCTGAAGCTCAAGGGTCTTCAAGTCAAGACTTGCAATTGAAGGGAACATTGAGGCCCACGGTCTCAAAGTTTGAGGTGAATAATCAAAGCGGCGGGCCCAATGAACTCCCCGATTGTGCACCGAAATGGAGCCCACGGTTCGATAACTCGCTCTGATTTGTCGCAAACAAAGAGTTTCGATTTTAGGAATTAAAAGTTGATAGAATTTCTCAAACACTTTTGATTATCCTCGAGATGAGCTAAAAAAAATAATTATTCATGAAGTAAATCTAAAAAAAGCGAGAGGAGTTAAAAACTAATAATTATTCATTATCTAAACCTAAATACAGATTTTAGTTGGCAAAAAATATATTTTTATGATCCAAAATATTGTTTTACAATGAACTTAAAATTTGAGTTTGAAGAGAACACATGATACTAGAACTTCTCTCTTCTAAAATCTTTGATATCATTTGAATTTGATCTCAATTTTTCACTAAATATGTCATAAGGCAAACTTATTTCGTTTTATTGTGGGATAAAGCTTTAAATTTTTTTAAGTTTTATCAAGATATTCTGACTAAGAGTTTTTTAAGATTATTTTTTTTGTTTATCTATAATTTATTTATTGAAATTATATTAATATTTTATATTAAATAACTTATATTGATATTGAAGATAAAATTTCAATAAAATTATAGCCACGAAGTAATTACTGGACATTTGAGTTCTAAGAGGGAAGAGTTGTGTCATGATTCATGAAAGCACTTCGTAACAAGTTCAAATTCAGGACTAACTACAATGCAATCGTAGCACCAAACAGCAGTCCACCTAAACAAGCAGCAAGAAGAACTTCAGGAGACGGCTAGAGTGCTATGTTTTGAACTCTGCAATGCATGATTAATTTCAATTGAGTGCTACATCTTGAAATCTGCAATGCATTGCAGCAGAAAAACGAACTTATTCTGAGTCTGCCACGAAGAGCCCTGATGAATTCTTTCTGGTGTAAAGAGCGAGTAACTCAACTGACATTTATTATACACTCCACAGTGGAAGGGGTAAAATACTAGTACAAAAACTATTAAGTTATCAATGTTCAACGAGGAGATAATTTTAGTACAATGGAACTCAAAACTTAGAGCTTAGAGCTTGACTTTTCCTGCAAGCATATATGTTCTGTAGTTGACATTTCTAACCAATTCAGGTCCACCCCAAGCACTCTCAAGCTCCCTCACAACCTCATCAGACAATAAATTCACACCTTGTTCCTTTGCTGTATTCACAGCAGAAGCTGAACTCAACAACTTCAAAAGTCTCTCAAACGACATCTCCATTGGCAAGTCCAATTCCAGAGGCTGCCCCTCACAACCTACGCCTACACTTTCAAAAGGAAATGGAAGTGTCTTGTAACACTCAAATGCGTACATGACTTTTGGGTTTTGAAAAGGAAAAGTTCCCTCGTAGAATTTCCTTAATAGAGGATCCATTTCTGGGCTAACTTGGATGATGTTGTAACTCCAAACAGCAACCACACCTCCAGGCTTCTTTAACACACGATTGACGACAGCGTAGAATTTTTCTAGATCAAACCAATGAACAGCTGTAGCCGCAACAACTAAATCAACTGAATTTTCACCCCCGATTAAGTTCACTAGTTCATCATCAGACATTGTTGATGGAGAGTGAAAGTATTGAACTTGGGGATGTTGTATAGCATGCTTTAACTGTTCTTCACTTACGTCAGTTGCAATCACTTGTTTGTAATGCTCTGAGACCTGCAGCGCATTTACAAGGATGTAAGATGCATCATTTATAACAATTTCTATTTTTTTCTCAACCAGAAAGTGATGATTCTATAGATATAAAAAATCAGGAAGCAAATTCTTCGGCTAAGTTGAACCGTACTATAGTGATGAACTCTGTATTAGGATGAAGTTCCTCATCAGAGCCAAACATTGGTAGAATCTGATTATAGCAATTTCTTTTCAAGGAAATAAACTAACGTTAGTAATTCATATAAAAGAAAAGTAAGACAAAAGGTGATGAACTCCAGATTCAAGTGTTGATTTACATCAGAACTTCAAATTAAACCTTGTCACTCCTCAGTCATCACCATCATGAGCACTACTAGGTTTTCAGAATAATATCATCCTTGATTTACCATCATTAATTCCTCTCAAGCTAGCATTTGATAACTTGGATTGAATAAGATGGGACAACTTTTGCTGCTACGTTTGGCATATATGCAAATGGAACAAGAAAAAGGGTGTTTCTAGGTGGCTGCAAAGAATCAACATAGATCAGATCTCAATATATTTAGAAAGTTCGAGGGAGAAAATACTAACATCAATAGCAGCTTGACCATTGCCTGTGCCAGCATCCCAAGCTAACGAGTGGTCAGGGGTTAGAGAAGCCAGCATTGAAAACCATTCGCTTGGATATCTTGGCCTCGCATCCAAATATATTGCTGCCTGCTTGTCATACAACTCTGCCATCTTAATTCTTAAGGATTCTGAGAGTATAATTTCTTGTGAATGTTTTAGGGTCTGTTTGAAGGATTTGCCGAATTTATAAGAAAAAACTGATCCTTCTTTTCTGCTGATATATTTATTGTTTAAAGAAAGCAAATTTGACCTGCATTATAGGTAGAGTGCTGATGCATGAATCTGAATAGCAGACTAAAGAAGTGGGCCCGAATTATTCTTCGCCCTATAAAAGTAAGTCATGGTCATCTCAAATGTCTCTATCATTCTCTGGTAAACGTGGGCCCAATTCCTCGGGATAGGCCATTGTGAGAAACGTGACGAGACCGTAACCCCAGGCTAATTTCTCACAATCTTAAAATATATTTTTTGCCATCTCACTCATTTTTCTTGTTCTTTTTTGTCTGTTCTTTCGTTTTATGTATCTTCGATGGTGAGGCTCTGGCTAAAAGGAGTTTACGTTCTTTAATAATGCTCCTTATACCGAGTATGAGTGAATCTTGGTCCGATGGTGGCTTGGATACAATCAAATAGTTCTATCAACTGACTTGCATGCAGACTTCCTTTGGTGGCTTTGAAAAAAGAAGCTATTAAGTAGTTAAGGTTCACGGAATTGGAGTCATAGCCTGCAATATTCTTGCATGAAGTTGTTGCAGTAACCTTCTGATGGTAAAATTGATGAAAACGTACACGTTTTTGGAGCATGAAGACAAGTCATCTAAAGGGAGGAGGTAAATCTGCTGGCATTCATTGTTTCACTAAATTTTTCACCTCATTGAAGCCTGGAAAGAAAAACTCACAGCTTAACTTTTCCAGCAACCGTACAAGCCGTGTAGGCGACAATGAACTCACCCACGCAATCTTCCAGTTTCTTTATATATATATATATATATATATATATGCAATTTCCAGTTGCCTTTCAAGACTGAAAGCAAATCATTGAGCAATATTTTTTGTGCAATAAAGTGTATAAGCAACTAAAGCGCACTCTCGCTGGAGAAGTAAGAGAAGTCTGCATGCCCTTTTGATGATTTTCTAATTCAGATGCATGCATTCACTCTTCTCGTTTTCTTTTTTTGAGAAAGAACACCAATCTCGAGCTAATAATCAAACCTCCTGACCCAGTTCAGGAAAACATCAGCAGAGATACAGTACCAGAAGGGAAATAAAATCAAGAAGCCAGAAGTGAGTTCATGTTGATATATAAGAACTTTTTAGCGTAAAACAAGAACCTTAATCTTCTTAATTAAAAAATATTATTTATATGATAAGCTGCAATTCTGTAATCTAATTATTTATATTTATCGGAAATAGATTAAATATTATTTTATAATTTAATTATTATCTATTCAAATCACATCTGATTTATATAGGCAATAATTATACGAATACAATCAATTATAAAAATTATATCAAATTTAGAAGAAAATTACTATGTTTCTTTAGAATAAAATTGTTACGCGCTATGTATTTAGAGCATTGTCTAGTTAGAGCTATGTCTATATATTTACTTCTACAGAAAAATACTAATGAAAAATTAAGTTTGTAAATGCCATTGGTTTTTTTACATAATATCAAAACTTAATTAATCAAACACAAATCTCACACGAATCCCCTACTATATGACGAACCTCAACCCCATTGTTCTCATTCTACAAATAGCCAAGCATCACCCATTAATATTCATTAAGACAATTTTGCATTCCTTACCAACATCATATTAAATGAAAACAATTATTTATTATGGCCTCAACTAATAAAGATGCACATTAATACTCGTAACAAAATCAGATATCTCACTAGCGAAGCAAAAAAACTTGAACCTGATGATCTCATGTTTGCAACATGGATCACTGAAAGTCAAAAAATGAAAAGTTGACTCATTGATTCAATGCGTCTATTACTAATATAGTGATTTATTCACCTATCCACAACCAAGAAAATATGAGAGGCTATATTGAAGACCTTCTATGATAGCTTAAATGAAACTCGTCTATTTGAATTAAATAAAAAATCTTTCTATATCAAACAATAAGGTAGACCTATGTCCACTTATTACAATGAACTGGTTGCTTTATTCTAAGAAATCAATCACAGAACTACTTCTCAAGTAAAGACGGTTGAAGGAGTGATCCAGTTGCATTCAACAATACATCAACTTAGGGTTCATATATTTCTGAGTGGCTTTGATTTCGAGTTTGATCAAGTCCATGAAGAAATATTACATAAAAATCCAAAACTAAACTTGGAGAGTACATACGCCTGTATAACAAGGGAGTTTCAATAAAGACAAATAATAAGAAACCATCAAACGACTAGTGAGCACTTCGCGCATTCTGCCATATTCACAAACTAATCTCGTTAAGGACTAGCTTTTGGAACAATGAAGAGCCGAAATAATTCATTTGCTGGAAAATACATAAGCCTCATCTATAGGCATTGTGGTGAATCAAGACACTCAAAACAAAGGTGTTATGAGATTATTGGTTATCCTAAATGGTGAGATTTCTCAAAGAAACCAAGGAAGAAATTCGCAAGAAAAGCCATAATGACCAGGGCTGAAGTTTAAGCTACCGCTGCTAATAAACTATCATTTACTACTAATGTTGCTCACTTGAGCAGTACTAGTAAGGCAAATACATTCTCTGCATTTACTAAGGATAATAATTGGATAATTAATGCAGGCGCATCAGATCACATGGTTAAAGACACTAGTTAGTTACAATCCCTCCACTTTTCTATACTTTCTTTTACTTCCACAGCTTACGGCAATACCTCCCCTTTTATTGGTGAAGGCATTGTCGTCTTGACTCAAAATCTCACCTTAAACTTAGTTTTAGTTGTCCAATCCTTCAAACATAATCTATTATCAATTGACCAAAGTACTTCCACTCTTAATTGTATAATAACCTTCTAGCCTTTATTCTGTGTGTTTCAGAATATTCTGACTTGGAAGATTCTTGGTTCTGGTGTTAAACGTAGCAACCTCTATTATTTAGAACTTACAAAAAAAAAAGAGGACAAAAATTTGATGAAGCATATCAAATTAGAAGTTCATATACAAATCAAGCCATAATATGGTTATGGCACCAATAATTGGGACATCTTTCTTTTGGATATCTTAGAAAATTATAACCGCATCTTTTTAACGTAGTTCATGATTCTGAGTTTGATTGTAATATTTGTGAAATGGCTAAAAGCCATTGTATTACTTATTTATCGAGTTTGAATAAAAGTTCAAAACTTTTTGCCGTTATACATTCTGATGTGTGGGGTCCTGCAAAAATTTCTACCATATCGAAAGCCCGTTATTTTGTCACATTTATTAATGAATGTGCCAGAATGACTTGAATATCTTTGCTACAAAAAAAAGTGATGTGTTTACAGCATTTCAGGAATTTCATTGTATGGTGGGTACTCAATATAAGAAACAGATTCGTAATTGGCAAACTGATAATGCTATGGAATTCCTAGATACTTCTGTTTAAAAGTATCTACATCACTATAAAATTCAACATCAAACTTTATATATTTATACTCCACAACAGAATAGGTTGGCTGAATGAAAAACAGACAGATATTAGAAGTGGTTCGTGCCTTTTTCTTTGGCATGCACATGCCTTAGTAGTACTGGGGGGAAGTTATAAAGTTTGTTATGTATCTTATCAACCGAACACCTTCTCGAGTGATAGATTTTCAGACACCTCAACAACTGATGCAAGCTTTACTGTTCACCTTGCACCTTCCATATAGTGAGCCTAGAGTATTTAGGTGTACTGCTTATGTTCACATTCCAAAGGTGTTACAAACTAAACTTAATTCATGTGCCACTCGATGCATTTTTATTGGATATTCAAAATTCCAAAAATGATACAAATATAATGATCCTTACACTAAAAAATTACACATCACCTTGGATGTCTCCTTCCATGAAACTGAACCATTTTATTCAAAAAAAGGTTTTATCATTTCCTCTCAGGGGGGTGCAACCTAGCAATGAACATTTGCTACAAGAGAGTGGCAGTAACAACTTTGTTGAGCTGGGAAAAATGATTGAATAGCTTGGGAGTATAAGAACTGATAAGGAGTCACAGGGTAAAAGCACTAATGAGGAGTCACCAATAAATGTAGAGTTGCCTTTGTTAACACCATTAACCAATGAATCTTCTCATAATGTTGAATCCCAAATAATCCTACAACTTATATTTTATGAATTCACTGTATTTACTTATATTTCTCATGCCCAAGATGTTCATCCTGCTAATGCAGCCCTACGATGTTCATAAAGATCAAATAGTTGTGTCTTAAAGAAACAGTATGAACTTGAATATAGAGTCAATGTCCAATATCCAATCAATAATTATGTTTATAACCATAGGCTGTTTGAATCATATGCACTCACTATTAATCAATTATCCAATATATCCATTCCTAGTAATATACAGAAAGCTTTAATAGATCTTATTTGGGCCAAAACATTAAATGAAGAAATGCAAGCTTTGCAAAAAAACTCTACCTAGGAATTTGTCTCCCTACCCCAAGGAAGGAAGACATCAGGTGTCAATGGGTGTTCATTGTGAAACTTAAAACCGAGTGCAACATTGATAGATATAAAGTATGGTTGGTTACAGAAGGATATACATTAAAATACGGTGTGGATTATCAAGAAATTTTTGCACATGTTGCCAAGTTTGACAAAATTCATATTCTTATATCTATAGCAGCCAGTCGGGAATGGCCTTTGAAACAATTTAATGTTAAAAATATGTTTTTTAATATGGACTTAGAGGAATAAGTATATATGGACTTGTCACCATGTGTGTAGTGCAATTCTAAAGATAGGAGTAAAGTTTGTT